GATGATGAATGGATGGATCGATGGATGAATGGATGGATGAATAGATTGATGGATGGATGTAGATTATGGATGGATGGATGGATGGATGTAGATGATGGATGATGAATGGATGGATGGATGGATGAATAGATTGATGGATGGATGTAGATTATGGATGGATGGATGGATGGATGTAGATGATGGATGATGAATGGATGGATGGATGGATGAATAGATTGATGGATGGATGTAGATTATGGATGGATGGATGGATGTAAATGATGAATGGATGGATGGATCTGGATGGATGGATGGATGTAGATGATGGATGATGAATGGATGGATGGATGAATAGATTGATGGATGGATGTAGATTATGGATGGATGGATGGATGGATGTAGATGATGGATGGATGATGAATGGATGGATGGATGAATAGATTGATGGATGGATGTAGATTATGGATGGATGGATGGATGGATGTAAATGATGGATGGATGGATGGACCTGGATGGATGGATGTAGATGATGGATGGATGGACCTGGATGGATGGATGTAGATGATGGATGGATGGATGGATGGATGTAGATGATGGATGGATGGACCTGGATGGATGGATGTAGATGATGGATGGATGGATGGATGGATGTAGATGATGAATGGATGGATGGATGGATGGATGGATGTAGATGATTGATGGATGGATTGATGGATGTAGATGATGGATGGATGGACCTGGATGGATGGATGTAGATGATGGATGGATGGATTGACCTATGATGAAGAGATTTGGCACCACTGACCTCCTCTTCTTCAAACCCAGTCAGGTTCCACTCGTAGCACAGTCTCATCTGCCGTCTCTTCCAGTGCTCCATGAACATGGCAGCTTTGAACAGAAACTTTGAGACTTAATGTTTAACCCAGAAGACCTGATGATGACTTAACTGTGCACTTTTAATAAATCAGTTTTGTGCTGACTCACCCCACAGCGCCATGAAAATAGAGAAGAAAACAGTGGCAGGGTTATCAAACAGGTGACTGGCCCGTGCGGTTCCACATGCTGTGCTGAGTTTCCAGTAGCTACACACTCTGTCACACAGAGGGCACATGGTGATGTTGTTCTTAGGATGGCAGATCTCTACGCTGGAATAAAGACACAAAAGAACAGAACTGTGCTTTTGTCTTTAACGCTTTTTTGTTACGTACTGTGTTTGGGGTCTGCTAGCTCTTGCCAGCTTTATCTTAGCATGTGGGTGATGGCTCCAAATAAGCATAAGTTTCTTCCGCAAGACACCTCAAGTCTGGGACCTAGATGCCTTCTGTGCATCCGGCCGGTCACAAGATTAAACAAGATCAAGCAAATTTAATACAGAGGGAAGATCTTGGATGACTCGCAGCAACTTTATATTTCTTTAAAAAGAAATTTAAAAGAAAGAATCACTAAATTGAGTAATTTAATCATGTTTTTTAAAACCATTTAATATGTTGCACTTCGTGTCAGCTACTTCACACAATTTTTTGGGGTTCAGCAATGCTTGCTTTTTTTCCTGAAAGCTCATAACTGTGCAGGACGTGGCCGGTAAACACACCTGCTGAAAAGCAGACTCTAGTAATTGTCATCTCCATAAATCAAAACATGGCGGTGGGGCCTCCAACAACCATAGCCAAAGGCCAGAACAGGAGGCATTCAATTCTGCCTCAAACTGCTGATATGGGTAAACATAAATATAAAAAGATTGCTCCTCATGTTGTCAGTCCAAGATCACAATTAATGTTGCTTTGGTGTAACTTTGCCAAAACCATGTTGGACTCCACAATAGCCTACTATATGTCACGGTCATTAATGATGTATTTCCGGTAAAATTCTTGCCACGCTTCTCCCTTCCACTCCCTGCTTACTGCCTATGTTTTTAGCGTTAGCTGCTAGTACTAGTCTGTGAAAAAGTCACAAAACTTAAAGCATCTGTGATCTACTGGTATAAAACATGAGTTCTGTTGTGTGCCGTTGTGTCCACTAAGCAGCAGGTACAACAGAGTAGTTAGTTTTTCTCCATTTTTCTCTTGATGAGGAGGTGACAGCTGTGGATCATAGCATTACAGGGAAAACTTATCTTTAAAAGCTCACGCTTGCGTTTGTAATCGGCATTTCTAACCTGAGGATATTCAAGAGTCAGCATCAGAAATGAGAAGATGGAGGTTACAAAAGGAAAATGTACATTTATCCCCTTTTACTGCCAAGACGAGAGAGGAAAGACCACCTCCACACGACAGCTAGCAGGAAGCTAACACAGCAGCCGGTTAAGGCAGGTGTGTGTGTGTGTGTGCACGCGCGCGTTTGTGTTATATGAAATGTATTTATGCAACTTTGTCATGAGTTTTATGCAAAAATAAAACCTTGTTAGAGTGTATATTACAGCGTAGAGCCGAGTGCCCCCCCGAGCACCAAAAGCAGCAGAACCTCCGCCTGATAATTATTAAATTTTCAGTTCACTAACGTCAGGGAAAACGATCCAAACCATACAAGTAGCCCATCAATTTAAAGCCCAGACTCTGCTCTTTCCAACAATATAAGTGTCACAGCTCTATGTGAAAAATTCTTGGAACAAGCAGCCACGGAATAGTGACAAAGTCTAAATTCTGGAACCATAAACACAAATGTCTTTCCTTTGTTTTCATGACTTTAATCCACTTTGGAGTGATTTTTTTCCACTTGGCTGGACCTGRACGTCTCCTGTGTTAATGTTGGTACATGTAATATTATAATTTTGTACTGTGGAGATCATTAAGAGTTGTCAGGTGAAAAAATCTTTCCCTAATACTGTGTTGACCGTGAACCAGAAGTGTTGGGAGTGGCATCAAGTGCTGGACCGGATGTCCGTGGCATATAGGCTATTGTCTCTGACGTCCTCTAAGAAATGCATCAGGCACAATCTCATTCACTCTTGAGATGTGATTGCACTTGGAGTCTGTGTTATGAATAACCATTAGCTTCTATCTCAGCAAATAAGCCTCTGTAAATCTGAAAACTGGGGTTGTTTAGTGCAGGTGGCCATGACCTTGACTTTGGAGGACTCCAAAATGTAATCAGTTGTAAATATGTGTCCCAGAAACCCAGACATTCCTCTCACCAGTGGCACTTTCCAGCTCAGCCTGCGGGTCCCCAAGGTGTTCCCAGGCCAGAGAGGCTACATAATCCCTCTATAGGATCCTGCGTCTGCCTCCTACCAGTGAGACATGCTCGGAACACCTCTAAAGGGAGGCGTCCAGGAAGCATCCTGATCAGATGAACCACCTCAACTGACTCTTCTGGATGTGGAGGAGCAGTGAATCTACTTCACGCTCCCCCGGGATGACAGAGCTCCTTACCCTTTAGCTCATTTCAGCTGCTTGTATCTGGATTTTGCTCTTTCAGTCATGATCCACACCTCATGACCATAGGTGAGGGTTGGAATGAAGACAGACCAGTAAACTGAGAGTTTTGCCTTTTGACTCAGCTCTTTCTTCACCAGGACTGACTGTAGTAACACCCTCATTACTGAGGATGAGGTCCCAATCTGTTAATCCATCTCCTGCTCCATCCTAACATCACTCGTGAACAAGAAATCCAGATACTTAAACTACTCCACTTGAGGCAGAGACTCTCCTCCAACCCGGAGGGGGCATTCCACCCTTTTCTGGTAGAGAACCATGGCCTCAGACTTCGAGGAACTGACTCTCATCACAGCTGCTTCACACTCAGCTGAGAACCGCCCCAGTGCACGCTGAAGGTTTTGGTCCAAAGATGCCAACATAACCACATCATCTGCATACAGCAGAGACGAGACCCTGTGGCTTCCCAACCAGATACCGTCCTCTCCACGACTGCACCTTAAAATCTGGTCCATAAATGTTACGAGCAGGATCAGAGACAAGGGACAGCCCTGGCGGAGTCAAACACACAATGAGAATGAGCTCGTCCTTGTGTCATGAATGTGGGCACAGCTCCAACACACCAAGACCAACAAACATACAGTAATTGCTTACATTTCACCTTCCAACAATGTGAAACAATAATGAGTGATAATAATGCAATAAAAAATAAAACACACAAAAAACCCCACAATTCAGCAGTTGTTCACTCTTAACCTCCCTACATTAGAGCAATTTGAAAACAGTACAGTGCCTTGTGTCGACTTGTGTGTGTTTGTGTTTACCTTGGTATGTTCTCATTGACTGTAGCACATCCATACAGAAAAACAATGACTCCAACTAGAGAGGCAGGAATTAGCATCTGTGTGTACAGACCCAACCAAGCAAAATAAAGACCAATCTTCTCACCAAAATACTTCCTGCACAGGAGAAAAGATTCAAATTATTTTTGATTAGATTTAGAATTTCCATCGTTCAGTTGCCCAGAGGTGGAAACTTGAAAAACCATACTCCTTTTTTTGTGGGAGAAATGGAACACAGACAGGAACTGAACATGCCATATCTATCATGGTAGCCCTACAACTACTGTATGACTGGCTGTGAATAAAAATATATATATATTTCTTACCGCACAAGGCCAATTGGCTGGTACTTATAGAAAACACTGTAGTTTGCCCACTCCTCATACAGAAGCTGTGGAGGATAATTAGCAGTATTTATTTTGTTATTTTATAAAATAATTGTCAGACTTTCTTCTGCCACATTTGTCACAAATATCTCAGGTGTTACTATACCATCTCCTTATAGTTCACATTTTCGTACAAGTCATTAGTTAAGCAGCGACTTGGTTGGCAACAAATGTTGCGGTTTGTCAAACCACATACACAAGTTTCTATAATCAGTTACAAAAATTAGATAGCAACAAAATAAAAAGAACAGCCAACAAAACAAAAATGGATGTGAAACAAGAATCACTTTGCTTTCGCACCTGGCCATATGTTAAATTGTTTTTCAATATTTATTTACTGATCCTCAATTGAACATTATAGCCGAAGGTGAAATTCATCCTACATTCATGTTAACTGAACTCTAAAGTTTAAGTTAACAACAGACCTTTTCACAACCCATGCACTAAAGAACAGCATACAGCAGTGATCCTCAATCCTGGTCCTTGTGGGCCACCATCCTGACAGTTTTAGCTGTTTTTCTGCACCTCAGCTGGTCTTTAAGTCCTGCAGAAACCTGTTAATCACTTATTCATTCCAATCTAAAACATGCAGCTTGGTGGCCCTCAAGGACCAGTATTTGGGACCGCAGACATATTTTAAAATGATTAAATATTTGTTGATTATTTACAAGTGTAGAGTGAAAAGGCTCTTGTTTTATATGTAAAAGTATAAACGGTATATTCTTACCTTTCTGTCATTGTGTTCTGCAATTTCCTCATTAACATCTCCCTTAAAAGAACAGAAAGGTGAAAAACCAGAGAACATTAAATTTAATCATTTGACACTGTTTAACTTCATTAAAGATAAACTTAAACACTTAAATAAAAATTTTTATAATGAATACAAAACTATGCTGTAATCTTTGGCAACAGCTTTACAATACATTAAAATGATAGTGTGCATATTGTTGGCTGTATTTCATTTGTCTAAACTATAAACGGAACTCAGTTCTTCTGCTGGTAAATAAATAAAAATATATATAAATTAAAAGCCACTTTAAAAGGAACCATTCAATCATGAGTCTCAGACCTCATCATTATTTGATAATTATTATGAAATGATGCTCTTACATCATGAAGAGGGTAAGCTGAGGTGTAAACACCACTTCCGAGAAGACTTGTGATTCCTGTCAACAAAAGACAAATGTGGGTGTTTATGGATTTCAAATATAAAACCATTTTTGTTTAGTCTCAATGTAATACTGGCCCAGAATGCAACAACAAAATATTTCAAAAAGAGAACTCCAAAGCCCTATGGAACAGTAAAATGTTGCTAATGAAAAAAAACGAACAAAGCATTGTGAAATAAGAATGTTTATGACTACTTAATAGATAAGCATAAATAACTCGACCCTCAGAGTTGAATAAAGCATTAAAGTACAATTGCTTGTTTGCTGAACCGCTAGTTTTGTTGATGTGTGTGCATGCTTTAGAGCTTTGTTGTTTTGAAATGGTTCTGTTAATGTTACTGTTGAACAGTTAATAACATCTTGCTGGTTCTGAACACACACAGCCATAAAATTTCTTTGAGATTTTATATATTTTTGAGATTTTCTATTGTCTAAATATTTAACAAATGTTTAACCATGTCAATATGCAATGTTTTATAAATCTCACTTGTTTTAAAGGGCAGTGTAGATTAATGCTTCTTTAGGTACCATAATCTACATTGACCACAATACTCTTTTATACCGACCTTGCTTGGAACAATTCCAGTCAGGGGGGTTATCAAAAATGTTTACCCAAGAGTCTCGCCATAGACTCCAAACAATAAAGGGAAACAAAATTTAAAATCTAAAGTCGTTCATCTAGGGACAACAGACCTCAGAAATTGAACTTAACAGTACTATTCCATCACCTAGCATAACTAAGTTAAGATTAGAAGAATAAGTAAGAGGCCCTTCCTTAAAGAAGCCCTCTTGAAATTTAGTAGATATAAATTTACAAATAAATTTTAGTTAAAGCAACAACACATCCTTTAACTATTATCTGTAGCTTATCTAAAACATGATAGCTAACACTCAAAGGTGTACATAGGTGTAACTTAATGTTAAATTCCCATCTAGGTTAACCTAAAACTACATAAATGCATTACACATAGTACCAGAACAGCACCAGCTGGAAACAACTCAACATCCAGCACCCTCCATGGTAGTCCACCTCGACTGACAAGGTCCTGCCATGCTTCAACGCTCCCAACCTGCAGCCTCCTGGTGGTGGCCATCTCCTCGCTGTTCCTGCTGTTGATCTCTGTCTTTGGGCTTGAGATCATAACCTCATCTGCAGCCTTCCAGAAATCGATTCTCGAAAAGGGGGGTTCCAGAAATCTTCTGCTCCACACGTGATTCCAGAGGTCGTCTGCTCCTTCACGTGGTTCCAGAAGTTATCTGCTCCTTCGTGATTCCAGAGGTCTCCTGTTTCTACACGTGGTTCCAGAAGTTGGTTGACTCCAGTTCAACCGTCCCAATCACAGTGGAATTACCCTTGTGGATTACAATTTTTCCCTTGTGGATTACAATTTTTCCCTTGTGGATTACAATTTTTCCCTTGTGGATTACAATTTTTCCTTTGTGGATTATTAATTTTGCTTCCAGTGGTTCACAGACTCTGTTTACCAGTGGATTTAAAGTTTTTATCCTGAGGAGTTACCAACAGYCATTATGGGATCGTACAAGACTCTTTGTTTTCCTCTCCTTTTTCTGTTGGATTATAAAATTTTCCGTCCGGTGAGACTTTTTAACACAAGATTTCCTTCTTCACCAAGAAGAGAACTTTTGCTGTTCCACGTTCTCACCTTGGACTGCCATTTGGACAATTCCCTGTTTACCAATTGGATTGCTCAAGATCTATCTATCTATCTATCTATACTGTATATATAT